GACGTTGAAACAAACAAATCTTCATCTTCATCCTTAGATGGTGCAATTCTGCTATTTTCACTTTCCATATCCTCTGGTGGAACTGCAGTGGTTTCCTTGCTTCGATTATCATTTCGCTTTTTAGGGAGTTTGGAAATATCATTTAGAATCTCTTTTTCAGATCCTGGCTCCACAACATTGTTATCATCATTAATGAAAGGTTGACTAGCATTTTTGGCTTTCGAACTTGCTGGAGCATTTGAAAAGTTGGATACCAAAGAAGAAAACAGCCTGCTTTGCGATTTTCCGGATTGTGAAATATTGGAATCTATGGGTGATAACGTTTTATTCTTTGGAACAGAATGGCCGATTTCTTCAAACTCAATTGTAAGATGCTCTCTAATGAGTTCAATGAGCATATTTTCTCCATGAAGTAGAATTGTACGTTTATCGGGCGATACGTTCACATCATATTTGTTAGTATCAAGCTTGAAGTTGAGCACAAAAAATGGCAGTTGTGTAGTGTTAAAGTTCTTGTAGACTTCATTGACAGCTTTAGTAATCTGCGGAAGAACACAAGGGCGCGAGTTGATATAACAAAGCTGTCGGTCACCAGAACTTCTACCTTTACCAAAAATTGGTTTTGAGATATATCCTTCAATCCTGACCGTTGACGTTTCATTGTTTTCCCTCCAGTTTTCTCCACCTAGAAACTTTAGAAATCTAGTGTTATGAACCATATCAAATGATATGTTCAGTGGCATGAGCGATTCTATAGATGCAGTCCCATAGATGCTGGATATCGTATCTTTCAGTGTTTTGTTTGAATTGGACGCAATCATTATCGATGTTTTCCTAACCTGAATGTTAATTCTTGCAAACATCAAATGTATGTACGGAATATCTTACCCTTTCGGTAACACATTTGACACTAGTATTCTCACGCCAGTGCAAATTATGGCATATGCTTGGAGTAATGTGATAGCTTTTGCAAACTCGCGTTTAATATTTTTCTGCAAATCCTTTCGGCGTACGGGTAATGCGTGAAAAATATCTGACACTGTCACTGCTGTTCCCGTTTTCCCTGAAGACACTGACTTGTTTTTAATCTTCCCATCAATATCGAGCTCAAGCTTAGTGGCCAAAGGTGCATCATTCTTTGTACAAGTAATTACAGCAACGTTAGCTAGAGCGCAAAGTGATGAAAGCGCTTCGCCACGAAATCCAAACGTCGTGACCATAGTGAGGTTCTCAAAAGTACGAAGCTTCGATGTGTGATGTTTAAGCCCAATCCCTTCAAAGTCTGCTTTATTGATACCATCTCCGTTGTCAATCACTTCAATCGAGTCGAGGCCATAGTTTTTGAATTTAACTTCTATGGAAGTCGCGTGTGCATCGAGTGAGTTTTCGACGAGCTCCTTTACCGAGGAGGCCAAATCAATCACAACCTGACCTGAAGTCAGCTGGTGAACAGACGAAGAGTTGATCGCTTTGATCTTTTGTTCGTTAGTCATATTTTGGCGCGCTGTGTAGGACTTATTGATATAACGGAAAGAATAAAGAAACAGGAAAAGGATGGAGATATGACTAGTATATAGGTTGGGGTTGGGGTAGAGATAATATGTTCTCGAAAAATACGCGTAGTCTAAAATGCGTTGCAGAATTTCCTAAAACGTTAAATCGAAATCACGTCTTTAGGGCCATCAATCATCCTTGATATTTACCATGACGTGTGTGAAAAAAAAAAAAAGATAAGAAAAATTAGAAAGGATTTCTATCCAAATATATTTATAAATAAAAGATGATCCCTGATTGACAACATATCAAAGCACATTTACTAGTCTAATTTAAGAATTGATTTCATGTTCTCATAGATCAGATAGCTGATACTGACCGCAGGCCCCACCTTAGCTAAGTTTGGAGCCAGGCCTCTCCACAAACCCCGATAACCATCTCTAGCTACAGTTTTGTAGTAGACATCCATGAATCCGCTGTATGTGTATGGATGGGCAGGCGTACCTTGAGCTTGCAGCCTAGTTCTTAACAAATTTACAGGGTAAACCAGCGAAGCACCAATGCACCCACTGAAAGCGCCCATTGCAAGAACAGTTGGATTGCTGAGTCTCACCTCAGAAGCGGGAATTCCTTTCGCAAGAGCTTCCTTAGCAATGAAAAAACGTTTCAAAGCCTCGAATGTGCCAAGATCAATAGCAGCAAAAGGGAAGATGCCGCAAACTCCAACACCAATGCCTCTATAAAACATTCTAAACCCGGCCTCGTTCCACATATCCTTCATGGTACTGAAAATCAGTGCATTTCCTGTTAATGATTTAGATGAAAGAGATTGGCACTGTATCCGGAACTTTAGAGTATCGATTGGATAAACAGTAAATTGAGCAACCACTCCGCCAATGCCTCCAGAAATGAATGTTGATGCTCTAGATATTTCTGTAGTGTCACTAACACCTTCAATATTAGCAAAAAAACGCTTTGCAGCCTCAAACGATCCAAACTTCATTGCAGACTCTGGGAAAACCTTAAACACATTAAGACCATTACCGACAAAAAATGCTCTGATACCTCCTTGACTCCAAATATGCTTTAAGGCTCTGATGATTGTGGGTGACTGTGGGTTTGTCACTTGTTTGGCTGTTGAAGTTGCAGCCTCTGCCATTGTGGTAGTGACGGATCCTGCAACTGAAATCGCGGCTGGCTTAACCACTGATGCAGCTTTACGCATTGGCTGACCTGACTGGGCAATAAGATACACTTTCAGTCTGTCGAATGGCGCCGTACAGGTTCTCGAGACGACACCAGCAAATCCTCCAGCAAGAAAGTAGCCTAGACCATTCAGTGTCTCACTACTTAAAAAGTAGTCACCTTCGGACGAGAGATCGATTTCATCAACAAAAAAATTGTATGCAGCTTGTAAAGGAAATTTTTCGTCGGAATTATTGCCATCTAATGGCACAAAAAGCAAAAACTGGGCCCATTCATAATAGGATATGTATCCGTCGCCTTTGAGATTGATGATATTAAAAAACTCCTCCGCCTGATCAGTGTCAATGTCGACACCCAAATTCTGTAATCCAGTGAAAACCTCCTCAAAATCTAAACGGCCGTCTTGTTTGGTGTCCATCGCCTTGAACGACAGCGCGATATGTTCTTCTGTGTGGCCGAGATATTGCTTGAAATCGTCAAAACAAACATATCCTTTCTTTTCCTGGCACATCTTGTCGAATACTTCCTGCATACAGTTATCATTATTTAGAGATGGGTGATATTGTTCCTTGAAAGAGTAGAGAATTGAATCGGTATTCACTCTTCCAGATTTGGTTGGGTCAAGGATTTCGAAAAGACTCTCCAACCTTTGTTCGCGCTCCTCAGGGGCCCCAATCATTTTTTGGATGTATTTGTCTTGGTTATAAGAATTGAAAGTCATGATCGTTGAATGCAAAAGTGTTGGTGAATAGTTAAAGAAAAGGGGTTGGTGTATCAATTATGAGCTAGGAAGCCAGTAGTGGTATATCTCCGAATTTTGAGGGATGTATTAATGGAAGAAAAAATAAACACGCAGTTTGTAGAGACTTGATGTGGAACGTAGTGGCTGTCGAGGCTCTGTCAAAATGAGGTGTAACTTTACAATGCAAAAATATTGGGTTGATATTAAACAAAAGAGCTGCAAAGCGGAAACAATAGGGATATACGAGATATTGTGATAATAATAATAATAATGAAACGTAAAGAGAGGTGTAGATTAAAAAAAAAAAAAACGCTTGATAAAAATTCGGAATTAAAATTTTCTTGGGGAAGATCGTATCTTTAAGCTGGCCATGCAAATTTGCTATGTTTCTTTAATACTGAAAAAAAAAAAAAATTTAAAATAAAAAATAAACAAGCTGTCCATATTAAAGTGTCGTTCTCTAATATTTTCAATAGTGAATCCTGTGAATAATGAACAAAAGTTTACAAACACTTTCATGTGCCGTTTTAACCCATACCCATATCAGGTGACTGGGGTTAAGTCCCCATGCTGTCCTATAAGTTACTGGGTTAACCTAGGACCGAATTTTGCGACTGGTTGGTAAGAGAGAAATAGAAAATCGGTTTATTATTTTAATATTTAGTGACATCAGAAAAGAAAATAGTAGATGGATGGATGGATAGATAGAAAATTAGTTTATTGTCCTTAGATAGATAGATAATCAGTTTATTGTCCTTACATCAAATAGTTACATACAAAATTACAAAACAAAATGACATAC